ACACCAATTTCACTTAAGAATGTTTTTGATGAAGCATTAAAATGCAATTTTATATCCATACCTTTTTAAGATTCTGGTTGACAAAATAGGAGCTATGCATAAAGCAGTTCTAATGGATGACCAAACACGTGCGATTGGGTTGCAAACTGAATGGGCCATTCATTTCATGGAATGCCTTTTTACTTAGAAGAGTACCTTACAGCTATTGTTTTTCAGTTTTGATTATTTGGCAAATATTGTCTTGGAAATGTAAAGAGTGAAACTGCTACTCAAGAAAAAAAATGACAATATTTGCTGTCAGTTACAAAATTCAAGTTTTGGCAAACATGTTTCTGCCACCATGAGTTTGATAGCCTCTCAATACTTAGACTTGTCTGATGAGAATGATAGTGTATTACAAATGTGTTTTTTAGCACTATATAATGAAATATTTCAATATTGAAAAGATCTGCATAATTTGATCAGTCAATATTTTCCAAATAACCAATGCATGAAGTTTTAAATCTTCCATGAGTAAAAAGTCCATTTAAAGTGCAAGAAAACCACTGCATTTAAATATAACAGAGTGAGTAAAAGTTCATTGATACAGTTTCAGGTTTCATATTTCAGCTAACCTTTAAGAAACTATTTCTCCTTGACTTTAGGTGTAATGTGAAAGAAAATCCACAATTATCTGAAAAGACTATTAAAACACTTCCATTTTTCATCTATATATATCTGCATGAGGCTGGATTTTTTTCATATACTTCAACCAAAACTATTCATGGCAATAAATTGAATGTAGAATCCAATAGCAGAATCTAGCTCTATTCTTTTAAGCTAGACATTAAAGAGATTTGTAAAACTGTAAAACAATGCTACTTTTCCACCAATTTTTTGTTATGGAAAACAGGTTTTTTTAATAAAAACATTTGTTACTCTGTAATGAATTTATTGCCATTTATGAATAATAAATAATTAAAATATTAAAATTAATTTTTTAGAATTACAATTTTAATTTATAATGTGATAAATATTAATAGATCTAATCCACCTAAACAAATATTCTTTGGATTCCTTAACAATTATAAGGGTAAAGAACTTCTGAGATCAAAAGTTAAGGACCACTGTTTTACATTACTTTACCATATCCAAACATCTAAGATCTATCTGTAGATTGGATGGTCTAGGTTGTAGAAGACCATTTCTCACGCCTAACACAACTAGAAAACTCAACAAAATACAAAAACAATAACATGTTTGAAAGGATCAGAGAGCTACTAAGTCAGCCAGGAATTAAGGGTCCAAGATCCAAGAGAGAAGGGAAATACATTGAGTAGGGTTTGACACTCTATGGATGATTTATTCCTTAAAGGCATTTGCAGATTCATAGTTAGTATGAGTAGAGAGTTTGAGAAAGTGGGTAGAGCTTTTAACAATGTTATGGGCCTGGTGAGACAAAACTGGAGTTTGAAGCTAATAAGTCAGTTAGGAGTCAAGAAGCCAAGATACCAGAGAAATGGAAAATTATTATCATTAGTTCAATATTCTATACCTCTTTTCTCCTTGCATTCTCTAGTTTGCAAGGTGCAGCTGCAAAGAAGCTAAAAAGTAAGCAGACTTATCAGCCGTTCTCATTATGCTGGAGAGAAAAAAGAAAACTGTATTTCAGGGCCTTCCAAGAAAAAGGTACCTTGGTAAACACCCAAGACTTTCAGCTGGGACTCCTAAAGGACTGTGTCTTAGGAGGAAAAGTGGAGCAGAAATATAGCAGGCTTTACAGAGACTGAAATTCAACGTTGATTCTCTTAGTTCTTGACAAGGTTAAGGTAAGCAAATTCTGCTTTAATTGCCTGCCAAAAACTAAAGAACTCTGAAGAATTAAAACATTATCCAGAGCTTTAGGTGAAAAAAACAGGCAATAGAAACCAACTCACTGGTGATCTAGATATTGGTGTTATCGGGGGCAGACTTAAAAATGATGGAGAATTTTACCAGAGATCTGAAATCATTTATTTATATGTTACATAGAAATTCTAGAATTGAAAGTTACAATAATTTAAGAATATAGCTGGTAGGATTCATACCAAATTAAAGAGCTGATCTGGGAGATAACAGAAAAAAAATCCACCCTCACCTATAGTAACAAAAAGAATAGAAAACAGAGAAAATAAAAGACATATAGGACTATGTGAGAAGGTCTAACATGCATGTGATCTAAGTGCCTTGGGAGGGAAAGAGAGAAAGGGACAAGAAATATTTGAAGAAATGTTGGCTGGGAATTTTCCCAAAGTGATTAAAGATGCCAAGACTAGATTCAAGAGCCATCAGGACAAATATAAAGAAAACCATTCTTAGACACATCATAGTAAAACTGCTAAAAACTAATGACAATGAATGACATAGAGAAAATCATAAAAGCATCCAGATACCCAAAAACAAACAAAAAAGGAAGCCAAAACACAATAAAATGACATTTTTTTAAGATGCTAAAAAATTAACTAGAGACATTGAAGGATTGAAGATATCCTCCAAATATGCAGTCAAATGTAAAAACATTTCATAAACAAAAAAATGACAAAATTCATTACAAAAAGGCACACACTAAAAGTGACACTAAAACTTTCAGGAAAATGGAATATAATCTTAGAAGCCTAGATATATAGGAAAAAAATGAGAACAGCTGAAATGGAAAATATGGGAGTTACTCTAAAGGAATATTGACTATATAAAACAAAATATCCTATGGGGTTTAAAAATATACATGCGATAAAATACACGTCAACATTAGTAGAGAACGTGGAAGGGACATGAAGATAAGGCACTCAAAGGCTCAGTGTTCTCTGGGAAGTGGTAAAATGAATTGATTTACATTAGACTTAGTAAATTAATGAAGCATGTTATAATCTTTAGGCTAAGTGCTAAAAGAATAGGGAGGGCCAATAAACTGACAGATGAGGAAAAAAAGTGGAATAATTCTTATGAGAATATCCCAGAGGGATGTCAATGAGATGCCTTCCCCCCAAATTATGAAGGAACCAGACAGGCCTTAGAACTACTTGGACAAGTCCAGCTTGGTGAGTAAATGACTTTTACTGAGGGGTTACTTATGGAGCAGTGGGTGACATTCAGGCAGCTATTCTACTGGAGTCACTACCACACTGCCACTAGTCTAGCTTTTATCCGTTCCTCCCTGTTCCTGGAATTGTAGTCCAGGAATGTAACTTGTTCTAAAATGGCAACTTTTAACAAAATGGCTCTGCTTTGGCTAGGTTTCAGAGGATCACCTATGCTAACAATAATAAAAATACATTTGATTTAACAGACTGTGTGAAAGAAAAATGAGAACATAAAACAGGTAACATAAATAAAAAAACAAATAGGAAAACTGTATATTTAAATCCAACTATCAGTAATTAAATGTAAATGAATTAAATATTCCAATCAAAAGTCAAAGGTTCTCTGAAGAAGCTTTATGCTACTGACAATATTCTATATTAGTATGCTACTTATAAAACTATATCCTACTTAACAAAGGCACGTATATAAGGGTACAGAAGGATTGAACGAAAGGATGCAGAAAGAAAATTTTTCTGTTTGCATGATATGTAAGAATATAAAATTTCTATTCTTTTGTAGTTACTCAGAGTTCTAATTTTCCTAATTGTTTATAGGGTTAAAGGCTTATATCAAAAGGTATGTCTTATGCAGATTTGGTGAAAATATTTTCTTGGAAGTTTCATATGTCATATTTGTTCAAGTTTTTTTATGGGCATTTAAACAAATACAAAAGTAGAAATAATACAATGATTTTGATTTGCAGTTGTTAGTACATAGTTACTCTCTTTGTAGCTATATCCCCACTTCTGGGCTATTTTACACAATTCCCAGATGTAAACCTGGGGTGGGGGGGAATGTGTTGCCAGCCCTTTCAAAGAGGCAAATAAACCTTTGGAGCCTAAATCAAAGGAAAAAATAAAGTGGGAGAAACCTGTTTATCGCTTACAAGAAGGCATCTACTCCTGTTTGCTTCTATCCTGGCTGGAAGGAAGCCAAAAAAATACCTCTCTGGTCCAGCTGCTCACCTGCTCTTCGCCCACCCCTTGTAAGCACCTATTGATATGGAGATGGACTAAGGCCAGGTGAGAAATTGTGGAAATATTACAATTTTACCCACACTAGATATCAAGCAATTCATCTTTAATATTTCAGTAGAGATCAGAAAATATAAGAAAAATTTAAAAGTAACCATAGTTTCCTGTGCCTTTACAATAACCATAAAAATCCCCATGCCTTAACAACAAAAATAACCTGCTAAGTCTGGAGGTGGGGTGTGGAAAGGAAAGTCATTGCTAATGGGTATGGAATTTCTTTACGGAATGATAAAAATGTTTTAGAATTACAGAATGGCTGATGGTCGCACAGCTTTGTGAATCTACCAAAAACTAGTGAGTTGTACACACCAAAATGGTAAATTTTATATGTGAATTATAACTCTAAAATAAAAAAAGAAGTTATTCCTTAATATTCACATATGGAATTTTAAATGATATCTTTCAGTTATTATTTCACATGTTATACCCCTAATATGTTCTCTCTGGTATGGAGTTTGTTTTGAGAATATTTAAGGGCCCATTGATGTGGTTACATCTAAGAAAGGCAGTAATTCATTGAAAAATAACTTAAGTTCTATGTAAACTTTTGAAAAGGGTGGTATTTTTCTTTTAAGTAAATACAAACTCTTTTTAAGATGAATGCCAACATAAAACACCTTAACATGAAAATTTGAAGTAAACTCACTTTTTAGGAATGCTAAGACCCAATAGATGTTTTATTTGCAGAAATACTTTTTTTTTTAAATCAAGAAACACTGGCTACAGAATTTAGAATCCTCAGCCATAAAGGAAATGAAATCATCCAAATGAATACAGACTTTTGTGAAATGATTTATAAGAAATATATATTTGGTCATTCAGATGGCATCTTTTAACAAAATGGCTCTGCTTTTGCTCTTTATCCACAGTTCCTGAAAATGCTTGAGCCATAAAGTTGAACCGGGTGTCTTGTTCTGTTAGTGAGAAGACTTTCGGACCCCAGGTGAGGGTAGGGGATGGTTGTCAGGTTGACCAACCATGTGATAAGAGGGTGGGAACTCTCAGCCTCCAGGCCCCACTGCTGGGAAGGGGGTGGAGGAGCCAGAGGCTGAATCAGCCAACAGCCAATGACTTAGTCAATCGTGACTGTGCACTGAAGTCCTCACAAAAATCAAGAGAAGAGCACTGTGCTTGTTTATGCATCCTGCTTCCCTACTGGAGAGAGAGCTTCCACGCCTGGGCTACCAGAACGCTAACATGTGCCACTGAGCCAGGCCTCAAGCCCCAGGAAGACAGAAGCTCCTTTATTTGGGAACTTGCCCTATGTATCTCTTCATCTGGCTATTGACTTGTGTCCTTTTGCAGTATCCTTCATTACACTGGTAAACATAAGTGTTTTCCTGAGTCCTGTGAGACACTCTGGCAAATTAATTGAACCTAAGAGGGAGGTTGTTGGAACTTCTGATCTGCAGCCTGGGAGGCAGATGAACAGGCAATAGTCTGGGGCTTCTGCCTGGTTTCTGGGGAGAGTGGGCACAGCCCTGTGGGACTGAGCCCTTAACCCAAGGAAATCTGGTACTGCCTCCATGCAGATAGTGTCAGAATGGAGTTGAATTTTTGGATACCCTGCTGGTGTTGGAAAATTGCTATCATGCCTGGGAAAACCCCCTCCCCGCTACACACATTACAAGTGGGTCCAGGAACCCAAACAGAGCTGGAGTCACTGTAGTGGGATTTGCCAGAATGGAGCTTCCAAGAGTTTGTAATTCTGTATTTTACAGTTTTTATAATACAATGGCAATGACAACAGCTGCTACATTTGAGAACTTATGCATCAGGCACTGTGCTATAGACTTTAAATGCATCATCTCTTTGAGTCCTCAGGACTATATAGGGACAGTGAAGATACTGAAGATACTCCTATAAAGGAACTAAGATTTCTAGTCTAGTAGATAGCCAACTCTGGAATTCAAGCCTGAACTGTTGGTAACCACTCTTTCATATCTCTACAATTAACACAGCCTTCTGGTTTCCCAACTACAGTCAGTGACAAACCCTTTGGGCCTTTTGTCATGAGTTAATACACAGAAAAAAGGAACATGTTTTGAGTAAGTGCTCATTTCTACCATCCAGTGCTAGGGTAAAAGCACTGACACAATTAGAGTAATATTAAAGGGTTTTTGTTTTTGTTTGTATTTGTGTTTCAATGCATGGCATATAAATGAATTTTTATAAAGTGCCTTTATTTCCTTGCATTGCTCATGACCAAAGGCCCTTTGTAAGCATTTCACCCAATGAAGTGACTTTTGGACACCTTTAATCATTCTAATCTTTACTCTTAGTTTCTAAAGGCAGTAGGAATATAAAACTAAAAAAAAGAAAACTGTGTTTTTGAATGGTTGTATTCTGGGGGAACCTTTTAGTTTCACTCTTAGGCTTGTCCTTCCCACCTCACTGTGAGAATCTTGCATTCAGTTAGACATCTTCTGCAGGTGATAGGCTTGGAAGCACATTTCATACTTGGCATGAGGTATATTGGTCACAGCATCAGCAGTGACATGAAAATCCAATGTCAACTCAGCCTATGTCCTGTGTAAAAACTCTGTCACTGCCCCTACAGAAATCTGAGCTTCTGTGTAGGGCTATATGCTACAGAGTTTTAATATTAGACTTCATAGTGCAAGTGATTTATTTCTATTTTCCCTCCCATACCCAATTTCTTCTATAATTTGTTGAGTAAAGTGAAGTGGGCTTTCACAGAGAATAAATATGTTATTACTTATTGAGAGCTTACTTTGCACTAGACTGTTTTAAAGGACTGCATATACCAGCAGTCTGCAAACTTTCACTGTCAAGGGCCAGATAGTGTTTTAGGATTGGCATTCTATCTGGTATCTGTTGCAGCTACTTAACTTTTAATTGTCCTGGGAAAGCAAGATATAATACCTACATGAGTATGATGGTGTTCAAAAGCAGGCATTTGACCTATGAGTTGTGGTATATATGTTTCCTTATTTTAAAAAAAAATTGACATGTAATACTATATTAGTTACAGGTGTATAACATAACTATTTGATATTTGTGTATATTGAGAAATGATCACCACAATGAGTCTAGTTAACATTTGTCACCATATATAGTTACAAGGGTTTTTTTTCTTGAAATGAAGATTTTTTTTTTGAGAGGGCATCTCTCATATTTATTGATTAAATGGTTGTTAACAACAATAAAATTCAGTATAGGGGGTCAACGCTCAATGCACAATCATTAATCCATCTCAAGCCTAATTCTCGTCAGTCTCCAATCTCCTGAAGCATAACGAACAAGTTCTTACATGGTGAACGAATTCTTACATAGTGAATAAGTTCTTACGTGGTGAACAGTACAAGGGCAGTCATCACAGAAACTTTTGGTTTTGATCACGCATTATGAACTATAAACAATCAGGTCAAATATGAATATTCGTTTGATTTTTATACTTGATTTATATATGGATCCCACATTTCAACCTTTCTTGAC